CTGTCTGTCTCTGGGAGGGTGTTCTGGGTCTCTGGGCTGTGGGGTGTCTGCCTGCTCTGTGCAGAAAGGGGAATCGCTTGGGCTCTGAGGTTCCCCTTTTGTGAACGGCCGAGATCTTGTGCTCCTCCCCAGCTTCTGTGGTCTCACCACAGTACCCCCACCCACTATCTTCATTCTTTTTTCACCCACAGGAGTCCAAAAACCCTACAAGACAGAGATGCTGTGGCTGCTGCCTCTGCTGTGGGCAGGTGAGCGCCTGAGGGGAGATTGGGGAGGGGGTCAGGGGCTGTGGCTGACCCTCCTTTTCCTGCAGGGTCCCTGGCTAAGGATGAAAGATACACGCTAACAGTGCAGACACCCGTGACAGTGCAGGAGGGCCTGTGTGTGTTTGTGCCCTGCACCTTCACCCACCCATGGAGCTACAGGAATCACCCTATCGATGCATATGGCTACTGGTTCCAGGAAAGAGCTGATAAAAAACGGGGTGCTGCTGTGGTCACAAACAACCCGTCTCATAAAGTGCAGGAGGAGACCCAGGGCCGATTCCATCTCCTAGGGGATCCCCACACCAACAACTGCTCCCTGGACATCAGAGACGCCAAGAGGACAGATGACGGATCATATTTTTTTCGGATGGAGAAGACAAGTTACCCAAAGGATAAATATTCTTATGTAGAGAGCAAGCTCACTGTGCGAGTAACGGGTAAGGAATGGGCTCCAGAAGAGGCCTCAGGAGAAGTTCACAGTGCCCCCAGGCAGGGTTACGATGGGACCCCATCCTGGGAGGGAGTTGGGGTACAGTTTGCTGGGCTCAGAGGAAGGAGCTGTACCAAAGACCGAGGCCTCTCTCAGGGTTGCACCTGAGACCCTCCCTCCTGATCCCCTGTCTCCTGATCTCCTGTCTCCCTCTCCTCATCAGCCCTCAACCACACACCCAACATACTCATCTGGGAGACCCTGGAGAGCGGCCTCCCCAGGAACCTGACCTGCTCTGTGCCCTGGGCCTGTGAGTGGGGCACGCCCCCCATCTTCTCCTGGACATCAGCTGCCCACAGCTCCCTGGGCCCCAGGACTCACCTCTCCTCCGTGCTCACCCTCACACCACGGCCCCAGGACCACGGCACCAACCTGACCTGTCAGGTGCATTTTCCTGCCACTGGTGTGACCGTGGAGACAACCATCCAGCTCAATGTCACCTGTGAGTACTGGGTTGGAACACCAGGTCCTGAGGGTGTGCAGAGCAGGAGGGCCAGGCTGGTGTGCTTGGTGCTTTTGTCCTGGGGACCTGGCTGTGTAAGGGACTTGCAGGAGAAAGCCCTGTCCCTCTTGCATTTCTGTGGTCTCTGCGGGTGGAGGGGAAATGCCTAAATGATTCTTACTCCATCTAAGTCCACTGAAGAAGGAATTCCTTTCTTCCTGTCCTAGGTGCCACACAGAACCTAACACCAGGTGGTTGCCTAGGAGACAGTGCAGGTGGGAAGGAGCCTTCTGTCATGGGGCATTGACTGACGTGGGTCTCTGATTGGGTGAATCAGAGCTGGACTTCAGAGGTCAGCAGGGAGGAGTGGGTTCAGTTTCAGCAGGGATGTGGGTTCAGTTAAACATGAGCACCTCTATCAGATCTCTTCCACAATACCCACCAACCACTGTCTGGGCATAGTGACCACAAGCTCCTCTGCCCACCCTTACAGATGCTCTTTATCTTCCCCCAGTTACAAATGCCTTGGGGCATTTTAGAGTAGACTTTAGTTTCAAGAGCAGTTATTAATTCATAGCAACATTGAGCAGGAGACAGAAGGTAGAGAGATTTCCCTTAAAGCAGTCACACCCTCCCTCACATGCACATCCCACACCAGAGGGGACATTTGTACAATTGATGAACCACATTTGTACAATCAATGAACCGACACTGATACATCATTGTCAACCAAAACTTATGTTTATGGTTTACTCTTGGTTTTGTACACTCGATGGGCTTGGACATTGTATCATGACATGTGTATACTATTATAGTGTCATGCAGAGCAGTTTCACTTCTCTGAAGATCTCTATTTTTTCCTGCCCTACCCCTTGGCCCTCACCTTGACCTGTCTCTGGAGCCCTATCCTCCTCCTGCCCTATTCCCATTGGTGATGACATCTGGTCCCCACCCCGACTGGTCAGTGACCCTGTTAGGACTCTCTGAGCAGTTCCATCAGACTGTAACAGGTGATGCTCAGAGACACATCCCTGACCCCAGGGCTCCTGGGAGGCATGGCCAAATGAGACCACGAAAGCTATCTGGGTCTTGCCTGAAGGTCTGAGAACCTCCTGGATTTCACCCCTCCTGGATTCCACCTTTTCTGGAGGCACAAAAGACCACCTTTAGCCCTGAGCAACAGGGCCAGTGGAGGTCAGGAGATAAGACTCGGACACCTTCCCAGGAAGGAAGAAGAGACAGGTCTTTCAGCAACCCACAGCGCTCTGTGTGTGTGTCTCCCTGGAGTGCCCATGGGACACTGAGGCTCAAGGTCCTGCTGCAGCCAGGTCTGGTGTCAGTGGCAGAGAAACCCTAGATGGAGAAGAACCGGGGTCCTAGAAAACATGAGGTTTGCTGCACAGGAGTATGGGGACTGGATAGAAGATGTCAAGTAGACCGTGTTCTTCACGCCATGGTTCTGGAGGACCTAGTTGCTCAGCCCTGGATGGGAGGAGAGGGGAACCCATCTGTTCATGCTTGAGAAGAGGGGATACATGCCTGCTCATCAAGCTTGGAGTTCACCCATGTCTCTCTTGTCTGCAGGGGAACTGAGGACGAGGGCAGACGTAGTTCAGGCGGCCGTCGGGGGAGCTGGTGAAGTGTGGGGGAAGACCTTGTTCAAAAGTCTTGTTATGAAGATTCCTGATCTTGCCCAACCCTTGGCCTTCCCTAGTCACTCACTCCAGCCTCAAAGAGTGACCCTGTGTCAAAGACCCTGGTGTCTCCCAACAGAGTGAAGACCCGCAGGAAGAAAGCCAGGACAGCAATGGGCATGGACAACATCCACACTGCCATGGGGCCAGCTTCCCTGGTGAGTAACATGGACATGCTGGCATGCAACCCTGCCCCCACTTCCTGGGTGGCCCACATTTGCGTTCCATTCAGCGTGAGTTCTTCACCTTTCCACTCCTTTGGAAAATGTAGGTTTTATTATTCTTCAGGTTTATCAGGCCAACTGACATACTTGTCAATTTGTTCCTCACAGTTCCCAAGAGGAGGGGAAAACGTCACACCACAGGGCCACACAGGGCAGCACCAGGGTTGGTCAGGAGGCAGGAGGAGTGAAAGGGGAAACATGGGCAGGAACCTTAATGGTGGTTTCCATGGGGAAGGTGAGGTGAGGCAGGGGAAGCAGGCTTAGGACTAGCTAGTTTGAATAATTTCAACAGGCTCTGGGCTATAGGGGCTGTCTCTTATTGTCTGATTCCTGGTACTGGTGTGATCAGGGCAGGAGGGGACTGATCAGAAGTGTAAGAGTTCCATAAAAGAGATGGTTGGAGGCATGGAACTTGGATTTGACTGGCTGGTTTGCAATATGAAAGTCACACTTAGAGGCAAGTCCTTTCCTATCTCTAGCAATTAGCTAGTCCTGGCAGGAACAATTTCTCTAGGTTATCAAAGCCCCAGATGTCAAAACATGAAATGCACATGGTTAATACACCCCCAAAATATACTTCTGCTAGGCTCTCCATCTCACCAATGCTATTCTTGCCCCTGACATCCAACTAGAGACCCGGCCCTGTCCTTCCCAGTCCTTCACCAGCTCTTTCTACACGAATACACTGCAAAGCATGTCTACTGAAGCCCTCCTACCTCTCCTCCCCAGCACTGCCACATCACACCCAAGTCTGAAATGCACTGGTTCTCCACACTGCCGAGCACCCAGGCAACTTGGTCTGGCATTTGAGGCAGGAAAAACCAGTCACTTTCCATGCTTTGTGCCTCCCACACTCGCCTGTTCATTCACCTCCAGCAAAGTAAGCCTTTTGCATCTCAGAATCATTGCTAGGCTGTCCCCTCCTCTTCACATGCCTGCCTCAGCCCACCCTGCTCCTGCTCATCCTACAAGTTCTGACTCTCATTGAACTCCAACTTAGGTGGCCACCACTGTGAGGTTTTTGAGCACATGATCAGCCATCACCCATGCATTTATCTTTTCTTTTGGCCAATATCTCCCACTGAAGTGGCAGTGGGGGCGGGGGATCTTGTGGGACTGAGCCTTTAACCTGTGGGATTTGACAATAACTTCAAGTAGATGGTGTCAGAACTGAGTCTAGTTGTAGGATGTCCAGCTGGTGTCCCAGAATTGCTTGGTGTAATAGTAAAGGAGATCCCTGACTGGGTGGCTCAGTTGGTTAGAGCGTCATCTCATACACCAAAAGGTTGCAGGTTAGATGTCTGGTTGGGGCACATACGGGAGGCAACTGACCCATGTTTCTCTCTCACATCGATGTTTCTCTCTCCCTTTCTCTCTTTCTATAAATCAATAAAAACATATTCTTGGGCGAGTATTTTTTTTAAAAAAAATGGAATAAAGGAGAGACACACAGGAGGAGAAGTTCTTTTTCATAAACATCCAGTGTTTGGCACATAGGAGAGTTCTGAGAGACCAGGGGTTGAGTTCATGACCAGTACATATGTGCTCTTGAGAAGTACCTAACGTCTCTGAGACTTACTGTCTTTCTTTGTAAAATAATAGTATTTTCCACAACGGTCTGTGTGAGTGGTCACTAAAATTGGAAAGCAACCAATAAGAGCTATCTTTGTTGAATAAGTGATTAAATGGGACCTTGAGAAATATTCAATAAAAGAATGAAAGAATGATCTGACTGATATTTCTCAGTGGTTAGATTGTCAGCCCATGCACAGAAGGGTTGTGGATTCAATTTCTGGTCAAGGGCATGTACCTGGGTTATAGGTTCCATACCCACCCCATTTGGGGTGCATGCAGGAAGCAACCAATAGATGTGTCCCTCTCACATCAATGTTTCTCTTTCTCTCTCTCTCTCCCTCCCCCCTCTCTAAAAATCAATGGAAAAAGATATCCTCAGGTGAGGATTAACAAAAAATAAAATTTAAAAATTTATTTTAAAAAATGGAAGAATGATCAAAGATCCTATTACAATCAAATTCATTGCAGGAACTCCTCCCGCTGTCCCTACCCTGCTCTGACTCTGTTGTTCTTTGCTCTCCACGCAGGGTCACCAGAAGACGCCACAATTAGACAGCCCAGCGACCGACTCCACTAGCTCTGCAGGGGCTGCCCCGACCTTGAGGGTGGAGCCAGAGGTGTGTTATGCCTCCATCCGCTTTCAGGGGAAGAATCGTACTCAGACAAGCACCGAATCGGAATACTCAAATGTCAGGACCCAGTGAGAGGCCGAAATGTCCATATCCCTCTGGGAGGAAGGGGGACCTACCAGCTGACTTTTGGAGAGCTCACATCCCCACAGGCAGTGGGTTTATAAACTACTGTAGATGCCTTTCCTGGTATGTTGGAACCATCTTAGGCATTGCAATCAGAGAGACCTGGGAGCAAGTTCATGCTCTTTCCGTCGATTAAGAAGAATATGACATCACCTGAGCCCCCTTACTCCTCCGGGACTTGATTTCCTGATTTGTGATCAGGCGTAAGAAGTTCTACATCACAGGGTTGCTATGAGCATTAAATAAAAGTGCGCATGGAACCTGGCCGGCAGCTCAGTTGGTTAGAGTGTTGTCCTGTTACTCCAAGGCTGTGAGTCTCAGTCAGGGCACACACAACAATCAACCAATGGGGCCGGCTGGTGTGGCTCCGTTGGTTGAGTGCGTCCCGTGCACCGAAAGGTTGCTGGTTTGATTCCTTGCCCAGGTTTCTGGCTCGATTCCCAGTAGGGGCCATGCAGGAGACAGCTGATCAATGCCTTGCTCTCCCATCCATGTTTCTCTTTCTCTCTCCCTCTCCATTCCCCTGTCTTTCAAAAAAAATGAATGAAAATATTTTTTAAAAAAGAACCAACCAATGAATGCATAAGTGGAACAACAAATCGATGTCTCGCTCCCTCTCTCTCTCTCTCTTTCTCTCTCTCAAATCAATCAATAAAAAAATTTTTTAAGAAAATGCATATGGTGCCTGGCTGGTGTGGTTTAGTGGTTGAGTGTCGACCTATGAACCAGGAGGTCATGGTTCCATTGTTCCATT